TTATATATACTACAATTATGTTATATAGATAAATAAAAATATCACGTAGATAAACATTTATATTTTAATTAAAAAATAAAATTACATTATTACCCTCAACTCCCAATCCCTCTTCTTCCCCTTCTTTCTTTCTCTTTCTTTTTTTTCTACCCAGATCGACTGGGTTCCGACGAGTTGGGTAGCTGGGTTCGTCGAGCACTGCTTTCTGTGCTGCATCTCACTTCTGCGCAGAAATTCCTCCAAACCCTCCGAAATCTCCCAGCTGCCGCTGATTACCTCCTTCGCAAAACACGAACATGAAATTTGCTCCGATCCGATCGGATCCCGTCCGTCTCGATCATTTCATCCAATCTAATGTTTCTCGCTTGCTGAAATCCGATCTCCTTGCTGTTCTCGCTTGCTGGTCCTGGTCGCACGAACCCAACCTTGTTGGTCTTGGTTGCGTGAATCCGGCCCTGCTGTTTGAAAAAATTAACAGATTCAAAAAATCATGTCGTGTTCCGTCGCGGTATCAAGCTCCCCGGTCTTCTCTCCTTCCTCGTCTTTCTTCTGTAACAAAACCTCAATACTTTCTCCATCAGCGGAGGCTCTTAATTTGACTTTAACCCACCTCAAACCCACATATTCTCCTTCTTCTCCGTTTGTCATCTTCGCCTTCATCGTCGTTTCGTATAAGGATTCAAAAAACATCATCTGGGTCATTTCTCTCATCCTCATCTCCGTCTTCTTTGGGTTCCAGTGTGGGTTTTGGTCCCGGGTCGGTTTTGAAGAGGAAGAGGCCGGCTAGACTGGATATACCGGTGGCGACTGTGACGGCCTTTGCGACTCCGGTGATGGAGAGCCAGGAGAGATGGAGAGTGAAGGTGATGGGTATTCTGGTTTTTTTTTTTTTTTGAACACAACGAAAATTGCTTCATTATACATCGCCATACGACATCTACAGTATGCCTTATCCGGTGGATGAGGAGGAAACAGATAGAAAGCACAACTGGAGAACAGAAGCCAGGGTAGACCCATATGCAGAGGATGAAGGGAGGTGCATCGTGCACTCGGCCAACCACAAAGGACCAAGGGTGCCTTCGGTCGGGCGATCCAACGAGACACCCTTCTATCCACCCATTTAGAGGTTGCAGTCAGACTCCAGGATGCCGAGGCGAGAACCCTGGCAAGCGAAGACCATCCCTCAGAAAATCAACGGGAGGGTCGCGATGGGCGCCAGATCTGGAGAACCCAGCAAGCACCGCCACAGATCTGCCGAAAGGAGAGGTAGGCCGCCGGATCTGCAAGCAAACAAGAAAACAGAAAAGCAGAACCCAAGAAACCAAAGCAGAAAACAGAAAACAAAAAGAGCCACCAAAGGGGCCACAAAACCGACAGGCCACAAAGAGCCATCGGAACAAGGAGCACGAAGCCGGCTCTATCATGCTTGAGTAGCCGAAGAGCCCGGCGGCTCAAGCACCAAAAACTCGGAAGCCCTGGGGTTTCCGATCAAAACCACGAAGCACTGGTGAAGGTAGTCAGAAGCAGGAGAAAAGAAGGGAAGAGAGAGAGAAAAAGTTTTTTTTTATGGGTATTCTGTTTATTGTAAAAGAGGGACGAGAGAAGCTATGAGGGTAATAATGTAATTTTATGTTTAAATTAAAATATAAATATTTATTTACGTAGCATTTTTATTTATCTATATAACATAATTATAATATTTTTATTTATCTATATAACATAATTATA